ATTTCAACAAGCTCTGCATGGACAGAACACTGAGCAAGATGACAGCCTTTCTGTAATCACTAACAGTTTGAACTTACTCCAGGAGTTATAATTTTTTTTGGTCCACAGCCTACAGAATGGCCGTAAACTATCTGGACTTTCATTTCAGCTTCAATCTTGCAATACAGTCTGTGTGAAATGTTCCCTATGGCTACAAGTTTGACTCACTTCAGCAGAAGGTCATGATTATGCTTTTAGGGACAACAAAACGTTTTCATAAATTTTAGATAAATTCTATTTCTTTACTATTCATTATTTGACTTTTTATGAGATTTATGAGATATAAAATCTGTGATCCATAAAGAAGGCAAGCAATAGCAATCACAGTCAAACAGCTTTATTCAACCTAGTGAACTAGTCAACTCCAGTTCACAGCTACAGGATGAAGCTCAGGGGTTGATCAAGAAAGTTACCTCAAACACCAGATTAAGACACCCTCAGGAGCTTTAAGATCGCGAAACAGATTAATGAAGCTGATGCAATTAGTTCCAAACATGCAGAAATATTTAGCCTGTAGGAGGAGATAAAGATTCATATCTGGTCAAAGAACATTTTTCAAATGAGATAATATGGAACTGTCACTTTGCAAACAGAACACTACTAGTCAATCAAGAAACTATGGCTGCAGGAACACCAGCAGCTGTTTGGCAAAATACTGCCTAATGATTACAGTGTACCAGCAAATCTGTTTGTTTTTTTTTTCAGTAAAGGTGATCAGTGTGGGGAAGTGCTGTTCCATGAGGATTTTATTAAGATTTCTAAAGTTGTAAAAAGATGTAAAGTTGTGAAGTTTTTCGAAAGAGTTCTAAATGATCAGAAAGTACTTGTTACATATTGGTACAAATTGATACAAATTACCAGACTTGCAGTTTATCTTGCAATTATATGAAAATTATGCAGAGTTTTTAACTCAGCCTTTGCAAGAAAAATTATGCATCTCTTGTGAGAGTCCTCTAAGATTAATAGACTTTAGAATAATGGAGGAGAAGCAGTTTGTCAAATACAAGATCCAAGAGTGTAGGGCCAACATTTGTTTTCCGTTACTTGAAATACTGCATCCAAGTAGGATATTAGAAAATGAACTTGCAGAATCCTGAGCAGAGACTGTCAGTGCCAGTGTCTATTTTAAGAAGAGAAAGACACTTCAAATGCTAGACACTGCAAAGTAAGAAGAAGCCAAGATGAGTTTGCTAAGCTGCAATCAGATGCGTTTTGCTTGAAAACTGAATGACATAAAACATGTTCAAGACAGACTTCATAATACTGAAAACTTAAAATGAACTCCAAAAACCAGTGAGCTTGAATCCCAGCTTAGGAGAAAATATTTGAAATTTCTTAAAAATTCAGAATGAAAATGTCAACAGCCTGCTTAGACAAATAATGAACACATGAAAAACACAGAAAACGTGAAACAGTTCAGCAAGAGAAAGGTAAAAAGAAAACTCTAAACTACCTATAAACCATAGTTAAAACAGTACGGTTTGAAATGTAAAGAAAGCAGACTGTGTTGCTCTACTGATATGATTTTGTGTTTCTGTGGTCTTTTTATATTGTCAGATTGTTACTGGAACTATGTGAATGATGCAGAAAAATTTCAACAGAAATCAGCAACAGAAGCCATAAATAATATTAGAAAGAATAGGGACAATGGCAAAGAAATTCCAGAGAGCGAGGACTCTGATATGCAACTTTCACTTCTAAACTTACATCGCCTATTTTAATCCAGTGAACATTGGGAGTGAGAAGAAACAACTGTCACCTAAGTGTTTTCTTAAACATATAAATATTAAAACCTCACAGGACCTGAATGACATCCTCCTCTGTGTAATCATGTAATCATGACAGAATCATGAAAGCAAACTGAGAAGTAAGCAGAGGAATTAAATTGAAAGGGGCCAGAATCATCCTTCATTCCTTTCTAGCAACAGTCAGCAGTCACAGTGACAGGAAAAATGGCCGAAAATTAGAGGTGGCTGAGATGGTATGATCAGGCTCCCATTTAATTATCTGCTTGCCCCTACAGACCTTTCCACCCATCGCATTCCCTCAACATCCTCTCTTAATTTTCTTCAGTCTTGACTATGACCATCTACTTTCAGGAAACAAAGTTTTTCCTTTCCAAATACTGTAGGAATTAAATATATGAGTGGGGAAAGGAAAAGAATTCTGTGGTTTAAAATTTTTAAACGCTTTCTGTATTCTAAGATAATATTAGGATCAATTGACTGACAAGTGGAAAATTTTCTTGGCAGAGATGGGAGCCAGAGGAAATTAACGTTCACCTGTATATACAATGGTGCATACATATGTACATTAACTGTAAAATATTCCTACCCTTTCACGTCTGGTCTAATATTCCAAGCAGGGATAAATCAAACTGACTTGTAAAACGATAAGGAGAGGAAACACAATTTTATATAAGATTTTTTGCATTTAAAAAATATCCATTTTTACATCAATTTTTCCAGTAGTTATTAAAAATGAAAATTTTATTGGTAAAAATAACAGAAATGTATTAGTGCATATTTTACCTTTATTAATAAACATACATTGGAATTGCATATTTTAGTTTTGTAAATGTTATTTTACTGTAATGTACTAAAGAATCTACAGTATGTGACAAGCTTTCATTAGAAAAACTAGACAAGTGAAAGTGAAGAATTCGCTGTAGAATATCTTAAGTTTCTAAAAGGAAGAAAATGATAAATCAAGTCTAAATTAAGTCTTTCCTGAGGATCTACACTCACTGTACTTTATCTCTGCATCCTGTTGGATACCTAAGCATCAGCTTTCATTTTATTTGCATGGAAAAGTTTGAAATATCTTTATTTACATTTTGGAAGTAAAACTTCAACTGTTTAGGAGAATAACAAGAAAAAAAAAAGAAAATATGAATATTTATAAAAACACATTGTAAAGACATAAACAGTACAGAAAAATGAATAAGCTATTGTGCTTTTAAGCACAGAAAGTATCTAAGGCATGGTAGATAACCTTTTTTTAATACTAATAATTGGTTGTTCAAAATGCATTCATTTTGCAAGAAGTGTTTCTAAGGCTAAGTTGCATGTATAAATTGTGTTTATGGAGGCAATGAAAAAAATTTCAGTTTTCAATTAATTTCCACTTATGCCTTAAGGTATTTGTCACAATCCTCTAGCTACTAGCTACTTAGTTTTTCAGGCATGTTAAAATTCTGCTGCAGGATTCTTATTGTTTCAATTGTCTTTATATGGGGCCACTTTTAGAAAGGTAATTTTAGACAAGCTTCAGTTCAGAAAAGTGCACACAGATTTAATTACTTTATGGATGGATGAGGTATGTACATACATACTCACCTAGTGCCATGATTACTAGATCAATTTTCTTAAACACACTAATTTATAACTCTTTAAAATAACTGTTTCAAATCTGTCAATTTGCAATGTGTGTGCATATACATGTGAAGAATTTATAATCACAGAATCACAGAACTGTAGGGGTTGGAAGGGACCTCCAGAGATCATCGAGTCCAACCCCCCTGCCAAAGCAGGTTCCCTACAGCAGGTTGCACAGGTAGGCATCCAGGCAGGTCTTGAACATCTCCAGAGAAGGAGACTCCACCACCTCCCTGGGCAGCCTGTTCCAGTGCTCCATCACCTCACTGTAAAGAAGTTCTTGCATAATGCTGTACATGTTACTGCATATAGTGCCCCTGCTTCCCAGTTGACAAGATGTCAGTATATTCTAATAAGTGATAAAATGATATTTCCTGTAGCTTCCCCTTATTCTCTTAAGGTTTCAATTTCATTTGTTATTTTGAAGGGTTTTCTGAAAAATAATAATTCATGGCTATTTTGTATTCTAAAGAAGTGATTGATATTTACACTACAAACCACATTATCTATGGGTGTTTTGCAGTAAATGAAACATAATCATTTCTAATCATACCACCTTGTCATTCTTAATTGATGACATGAGGTTTACTGTAAAAATCATTTAAACAACAATATTAATTATCTGTTGATTTTATTCAAAGAATAAAAGGCTAAATTAGTACTGCTATAGTTCAATTTTGTATACCATAAAGTGAATGTACATAAGCTGTTTAATGCTCTGTTTTTAAACTACAAGGTAACGAGTCAGCAAAAAGCCTGAAAATATGCTGTTAATTTCCTCTTTCTCACTCTACTATTTTGGCAAAATTTTAAATTAATCATATAAGTACATGAAATCAATGTGAAATAAGGTTATTTACAAGGCAGAGCCCTAAATACACACACATTAAGTTTTGTGAAAGACTGCTTTTGTAAGGACAGAGAAAATCTTCTGAAAAACTTTAATAAATCAAACAAAATCTAAATTCAGTAATTGTTCTCAGTGCTTTATATAGGAGACCACGATTTTTCTAAGCAATCTGGCGATCTTGCACAAATACCAGCTAAATTTATGGAATCAAAGAGGGGACAACAATGACACGTTTTCAAAGTCTACTTAATCAAAGAAACTGAACATTTCAAATGGCTTTGAAATGTTCTGCTTACAAAACAGCCCATCATTACAAAGTAATAACTAAGAAGTTATTTTGTATGATGAGAGGTGACATTACTTTTGTATCTATTCAACAAATTAAAACCAAACTTAAGACCTCATCATGCAAGGCATGTTCATAATAATCACTAACTTGCATATTGCATCAGAAGTGCTTCAAAAAAATCCTCCATTTTGCTTAAGAATCATGATCTAAAGCAAAGCTGAACTACTTACCTCCTTCATAAAAGATAAACCACTCGAGCTGTTGACCATATCCCTATTTTAAATGGATTCCAGATGTCTCCATGCAATGGAAAGCACTCAACAGTTCACATGAGACGTATAACTATTTCATTATATCATGAGTCTAAAGAAGGATATTTTCTAGTAATATACTTATTATCTTTCTGTTAATAAAAAAAACGTTCTTTCTAAAATATCAACAACAGGATGTGTTGCTTGTAGACTGGTGTGAGGACTGGGTATGATCTATCATGTTTCTTTTGGTTTTATGCCACTATTTTTCATCTGAAGAAAATATTAATGGCTACTAATTTAATAAAAAAAAAACACCCAGTAGAATCCAAGCTTTGAATTACTCTTGTACTTTGCATAGTTTTGCTCACTACTTGCTACCTATCACATTTTCTGTACAGATCAACACATTTTTTAAAACAGAAGCTTTTTCTTAATAATGCTGCTTGTTATATTCTGCATTCTATATTCTCACATCTCCTTTTTCTGGATCTAGGAAGTTTAGACTGCTGCTGGTTCTTACATCTTGTTTTGTTGCAATTGGTACACTGTACCTGCCTCAAGTTTCACTCTTCCACACCACTGAAATTCTTTCCCAATGATGTTAATAATGTAATTGCCATTAATTCCAATATATTAGGATTTCCTTTGCCTAAAGGACAAAACATCAATATCAAATGATGTTTGGTGTTCAGATTCATTCCAATTTAAGAGTCCAGGTTCTCAGTACTTTCTGAAAAGTGGGCTTGTTTTACATGTCTTGGCATGTGATACATGAGAACACGGATCATTTTTCAGAAGAACTAGAGATTGCAATCTCTCAGTATGATTGCTCTGGTTCAAAAGGGCCAAGTTCTTGCCCTAATTCCATAGCTCCGCCTGGCTAGTGAATAAACTCTTCCACTAATGCCTGGACAAGTTTTATTTGTGTGCCAGAAAACAAAAACAAGTTTTCCTATGTTTTAGTTTACTATGGAAAATATATGTAAGTCTTACCATCTAACAGAAGATGTCTGCTTTTTTCTCCTCAGTGGCGTAGTGGGAAGAACTGACTGGATATATTTTAATTAAGATTAAGATAACTAATTGAGGGTTTCAAGCCAACTCAGTACTAAAAATATACCAAATATTCTTTATATCAAATATTCTTTAATATGACACAGCGTACCCTGGAATTGTTAAGTCTCCTTAGTATAATTACTGACTTTGAATAGGGTTGTGGTGAAAATTCTGGAATGCTTTTCAGCCTGTCTGTAGTGTATTCATTGAAAAGTGAAACATAACACAAGGAAAATTGTAAAAGAGCATTGTATGCAGTCTGCTTAGAATAACTTCCACCTAACACCAAACACCAGAATATTCCTTCCAATTAATACCCGTCAAAGACATTTTTTAAGAAATATCATACGGTAAACTTTATGTAGAGCAAGTATTACAGCATTAATCTCCATAGCCAGGAAGTATTAGACAACATGTTTCCTATCAGAAGGTAATCTTAATGTGCTTAAAAATTTTGCAAAACTCCTACACATTTTCAAACAAGTTAAGCCAAAAATGACAAGCAGTGCTTTTAATGAAAGCATTGTTAAACAGCTGAGGTTTGTGCATCTGAATTTTTAAAGGTATTAGATGAAAAGTTCAATTGATTTGCATACAAGATGGTTAAAGACAATTACCAACAAAAAAAGATGTTTGAATTTAGAAGAAAAGTAAACTTTAAAAGGCCTAATCTAAAGATAGAGATCCTGATTATTTATGTTACTGTTATAGTTTGAGTGACCAAAATACCTGATTAAATCACAGCAGGTAAGCTATGCTACATGTTATGAAAGAAAATAATTCCAATCACATTCTATGCAGCTAATGCAAAGAAAAAATAGAGTAATCAGCTAAATTAGAACATATTTATCTTCATGTATGTATTTGTAGAAAATACCTTAGGCATACTTCAATTATTCATGCTCACTATAGAAATGACAAGATCCCTTGACACTTCTAAAATTATATAGTTATACCCAATAGAAGAGCAATCTCAAAACAGATTTGATCTCATAGCTCCTTCTGAAACAAGGCATGCATTTCAATGAACATTTCTTCAGTGCTCTACTTACCTGGTCTCACTAGAACGCTTCCTATAAACAGCACCTGACTTTGAAAGTTGCCTAGCATCTGTAACTTCAGCCAAGAGCTTCAGGAAAAATAAAGCTGTATAATTTTACCATTTTGTATGAAGATAGCAAGTCACTTAATGCTTTTGTGCCACAAACAAAATGCTATTTGTATATTTCAAATGTACATCCACAGCATCAATGTATGGATGTGATATTCTTGAGAGTAAAACAAGTGAGATGCTGTTTCAACCCAATAGCTTGTATACTGAATCATACTGAAGAGAATAATACACCAGGAAAATAGATCTAATAATGTATATTTTTTGGAGTTCTTTTTTTCATCTCTCTCAATTATTCAGTGCTCTGGAGACAACTTTACATTTTAGTTCTATATAAGGGAAAATACTTTTAAAAAGAGATGCATTTGTTTTGTTTTTAATTCCTTTGCTTTACTTTTTAAATAAAGATATATAATAATGCTTAAATGCCAGTTAAGGAAGTAAGATATGAACTATACATTTCAATCAGCTTCATCAATAAAATTTTCAGAAAAAAACTGCAAAAGCAATATTGTGGCAATTATTTTCAGACCCATAGATGTGAATATCTATCTTCTTTTCCAACCTAAGAAAACAACGTTTTTTAAGATTTCAGTGAGACATAATACTACAGTCACATCACTGACGTTGTTGGCCACAACCACAAATAAAGTTTATTCACAGTTACACTACATATTGCCTCTTTTGAAGAATTTCTGTGAAGCAGAATAGCACAATACAGAATAAAAAAGATTATTTCTTCTTACATATTATTTTTATTATATATATTTAGGGAATAATAATCCAATTTTATGAAATAGCCTAGGAATTCAGCCAGAAAATAATGAAAGAAATATGCATGAGATCATGTACCAATCTAACTTTCATTAGCATCTGCCAATATCTTAAGAACCTTACGAACCTAAATGTCTATATAATATGACAAATGTTTGCAAGAGCAACAAATCTACCCTTCGCTGAGTCATTAGCTTGCAAAAATATTCTTAATCAAAATTCTCCAGTCATACAGCATACAACTTTATACCAGACAATTCCATCATTGCCCTGAGAGACAGCACACAAAAAAATACACTATGTAATTGCTGTCTACTTTACTCAAACTTGTACTGCTTTACTTTTTATGCTTTCCTGCACACTTTGAATTTACAGTACTGATATGAAAATGTTGAAGAGATAACAGGGCAAAAATAAAAAATACTTTTAAATAAAGAAAAAGCCTCCAAAATCACCTGATAAAGATGAAGTTGTTCTTCCTTACTAGTAACTCATAGAGCTCAAAAAATGTGAAAATATAAGCTTTTGGTCTGTAAAAATGAAAATAATCTGACTTTAAGGACAAGTATGGACGTTTCTCTCAAGGAATCTGATAATTAAGAATCTCACTATTATGCTTTTTATTGCTACTTAATGATAAAAACTAATAAAGTGTTTTGTATTTTTCAGAAGAAGAACACATCTCTGATAGGAATGAATTAATGGAATGGATTGCATTTATATGCAGAGCTTATCTTTAAGTTTACCTACATAAATGTATTGAGTCTCCTTAGTGCCATATTCTCTTTATCAAAAAGTATTATCATCTATTAATCTGTTTCAATGAGGGGAAAAAAATAGAAAAAGAGAGCAAAGAAAAAGAAAACAAGAAGAGAAACATTACTGATTCCTTTGCTGAAAAACTCAAAAACACATAATGTGAAAACATGGTAGTGAGCACAAAATAACCTATAAATCTATCTTAGATTTCAGTAGCAGAATTCAGAAAGAAATGTGAGATTGTACACAGGTAGCTCTAAAACAACTGCATTGGTATAGCTCTGTATCAAAGTGTTTATTCCAACATTGAGTGAATCAGTTAAAGAACTTATTTCAATTTAAAGTTTTAGCCAAGGTTTCCATATACAGCTATGGAATACATAACCTTCAGATATCACATGCTTGGAGTAAGAAGAAGCTCCAACTTTGGTACTTGCCCTAGGCACCAAGTGATTAGAAAATGAATTTCTTATTCTAAAAGAAAAAAGGCCACTGCTCTGAAATAGGAACTTAATATACTTTAAAGTGAGTCCAGGTATAATACATTTTCCTATGAAAATTCATTCAAGAAGCAGCATTATTTAAAAAAAAAATATCTGCAAGTCTTTGAAAACCAACAAATTATTTCCCCATATTTTTATGAGATGTTCACAGTGAAGTGTAGTAGGTATAGTAACAACATAGCCTTGAAAACAGATACAAAAACTTCCAGCCTTTTAGCAGTAATTTAATATATTAGGTCCTTCAGCTGGATATTTTGGATAACAATAACAAGATTACAAAGCCACCTCTGTAGCCCAAGACCAAATTTAACTGCTTTTACCCTTTTAAAATGTCATTTCAAACACACTCATGAATCACGTCAGTGTTTCCTAATTGCTTATATATATTATAGTCTGATTCATTTCCCCAAGGACTAATTTAACTGTTTTTTTTTTTCCTCTATTTTTTGAGTAGCAACATAGTTCTGCTGCTTGAAGAATTATACTTGAAATATTCTTTGTTCTCTTAACAGAAAAACCAAAAAAACCAAAGAAGGTATAGTGAAATTTTCCTCTTTCAGTTTGGCAAATTCTCAGATTTTTCTTTTAGCCTACATTAATAAGATTTGGTAGAAAAACTGGCTCAGGTTTTAGTCTTCTTCAGACAGCATCATGATATTTTAAAAATATTTATGTGTGGCCAAATTATCTGTTGGCCACAACAACTACCTCATTAAGCAATGATTGCAAAGATGGTCAGATACAAATCAAATTTATTTCTAACCACAAATTGTAGCCTATCATAAGTGCTCTCCTAATTAGTACAAAATGTAGAAAAAAATTGCCTTCAGTTCTGCACAATGCATTAACTACGTAACATACCAAAATGGTTCCAAAGAAAAGGAAAAAACACTGGTAATGAAAGAAATAGTTGATTGTGAACAGCTTGCTTTGATATAGCAACATCTGTATGGCTGATTGCAGAGAAGAACTTGATAGTGGCCTATGAATATCTGAAGGATGTTAACAGGAAGAAAAAGGAGTATCTGTGTTTCACAGGTAACAAACTGAAACAGGAACTAGCAGGTATGATTAAAGCTATGGACATTGGGATCAAAGAAAAATAAGAACAAGATTAAAGAAAACTTTAAAAAATGGACTAAACAGCTGAATGTTGAAAGGGTGTCCTTTTATAGACTCTCAGATATTTTAAGGGAACGGGAAAAGGTCATCATTCCGACCTGAAAAGTAGGCAATAATTTAACCCCCTGAAACTATGCTGTAGGGATCACTTGTAGATTAACAGCTGGATAATCTGATAGAATATTTAAATTTTTGACGTGTGTTGTTCTGAAGCTACAAGATAAATCTTGGAAGTTACTGGAATGTGGTTTTGAGCATGTTATTACTCTTAACTCCTATTAATTTCAATACTGAAATTCACTCACTGAGTTACACTGGTTTATCTTATGGCAAAAAAGCAACTAGAATTTTCTTCTGGACTGAGGCAATCTATAGTGTCACTTTCCCTACCTACTGAAAAAGGGACAAACAGAGAACTGTAAGATCTGTACTGAACTCCCCCCCTCATAAGTAGTCATATTTTCATCTCAAAGAAAGGCAAAAGGTGGCATCACATCTGCAATTAGATCCATGTGTGATGAGAGATGCAATGCTGAAAATGCTGTTTGCATGTTCTCCACTCTTATTCTTGGAATGTCTGACTCCATGCTCATTTGCTTTATTCTTATTGTACTAGTAGCTAAGGGACTATTAATGAATAAAGAAAAAACACAGTAAGTACACAAGAATCACTGCATCAGCGATGCTGAAATCTAGACAGAAGATAAAAAACACTGTGTTCCTCTGAAGCCATTGCTGCTACTGGAGCTGCTTGCCCATATTTCTGTAGAATGACCAGAGAGTTAAAGCTGCAGAAACTTCTTAAAATCATTCTATCTACTCAATTACTTTTGTTCTTGATTTCCATTTGTTTTGCCCAATATACATTCTATAAATAACCTTGAAAAAACAGATTATTTGACTATGTAACTAGATATATAGTTGTAAATGTCTACATCTGTGATTTCTCAGACTCATAATTACACAAACAGACTGCATATATAAATGTGATATGTACATTTGTACATATACATACATAGCACCTTATATTGTCATTGATATCTTCCTTTGAATAAGTTTTCTTATTTGTTAAAAAATGAAATTCCTCATTCTTGTAAACTGATAATCTCAGTAAGACAAGAAAGGTTGTGGTACTTCCTTGACAAATTCCTCAGAACATACTTTCAAATCTCAGAAGGCTCAGAAGTACTAATTCCTGGTGTTGTTTCCAACACCTTCACTAGAAATTACATCTTGTCTTCTTAATCTAGATTTGATGTTGCAACTGCTGTGATAATCAGGACATTAAAACTGCGTATATCAAGAAATATATTTGGATTATGAATCTATTTTTTTTTTAAATATGTCTGTCAGTAATTACCCATTAGTTGCTTGGCTTTGCTACATGTTCCTTTAGCACAAACAAGGAAATAAATATTGAACAATTAATTCAGCTTTACTTTTTTGCAAGATTAGTGCACATAGACATGTTGTTAAAAAATGTACCATTATCTGCCCCTGGTGCACTTCCACTTCTCCAAGATTTACACAGCAAAACTTATGTCTATCAATACTAGAAACCCCATACTTTGGAAAACATCTAGAAAAAAATGCGTGTTAAAAATGCAGTATCTTAATTAATGGAATGCTTAGTTTAGAAGCAGTTTGACATGATTCTGTGCAAGGATTCCTAGGTGAGTGCCTAATCATAAGGGCTTCTGTTTCCAGAAGAAACAGTCCCATTTCAAGCAAGATTTTTTCCAGTCTGGTTGAACTCTACTTAATTGGTATTCTATTTATTTTGTTAAATTAAGTGTAGTGTAGCTGAAGCTTGATAAACGTGTGAGTACAAACAGCCTTTTAGTTCTAAGCATTTACAAACTAGAGCCACATTTTAAACTGGTTACATATTTATTTTATTGCTGATACCAGACTGTATTTCTATTCCTGTTTGCTTTTGCGTTTTTATATTCTCCCTTCATTTTTTCTGTAGTATTAAAAAGGGATTATGTAATATGATGTTCTGGTGAATGCAGAACCTTTTCTACTCCCTAATAAATATTCAAAAATATTTTGCATACATCTTGTGAACAAGGCTTGTGAAATCATAATGGGATGATTTATGAGCATTCAACTTCCCTATACTGAAGTATAATCTAGTCAAATGGATGGTATAGCAAATCATCCTGACACATTTATATTAATGCATATTTAAATGAGAACAAGAAAGAAATAGTCAAATTTATGTTAAAGACTTCTAAAGGCTTAACCGCATCTTACTAAATACGTATGTCAGCTTAATCTAATCCTCCTACTTCTATGCGTTCTGCAGTCTCAGCATGGTGTCCATAATGCTCTCATATGTTAGCAGGGATTGCCTCTCAGAAGTTTGCCATCAATACTACACTTAGTTCAATAAAACTTTACATCTGGTCTTTGGATGACAGAAAGCTATCTGTCTCAAATTTGCATCACAAACCTTTAGCTTCTTTTGACATCAATTAACACTTGCTATAGCAATTTCCAATGATCTGTTACAGTAGAGTGTATATAGATATACATACATATATGTACATACACGTATTCTTTGTTCTCATCTTACTGTGTCAGGTACAAACAGGCTTCTCTAATTTATTTGGACTGTTCCTAATAAATGTTCAATTTCTTTGCATCAGAAAAAGCATTAGTCTCATCAGAAGCTTATTTGAGATTATCTGTGGCAGCATTCTTTCACTCAAGTGGTTTTAAGTTTTACTCTAAGAAAAAAAAGGTAATTATTTCATTTTCGTGCTTTTGGTAGAAGAGATAATACACTATAATTCAACCTCTTTCAAGAATTCTTCTAGGTTATTTACCAATCTTATGACATGATGGAATTCCACCTGCACTTCAGCAAGACTGGAGGAATAGTTATTTCCTCATCCCTATCTTTAATAATTTCTATCTATTCCATTACAGGTACATCTGTCTGATGTGCTTTGCATTAAAAATATTTGAAAAGCAGTGTCTAGCATCCCCTGTTAGGTTATTAATATTATCATTCCCCAGCAGACAATGGATCTGATTGTAGTTGAAAACTCCAAAAGGACAGGTCTACTTGTGGGACTAGCAATGTCTAACACATGTTGAAGATCAAACATGTCAGTAATGGATCATCATACAGATGGTTAGCAACCAGCACTACCTGAGATGAATTAATAATTGGAACTGAAAAACTGCTCTCTCAGTATCATTTGTGTTCTGGCAGCCATATCAAGAGAAGAACATTTTTAAAACTCCATGCATTAGGTTTCAGATTTTCATGATCAGAACATTCCTGCTTTATTCACTTTCTTAGAACACTTCTCTTTTTGAAAAACAGCTTTACCTACCATTGATCAGTAGTGCAAATAATTTCTGGCAGCCAACTGGGCACAGAAACTAACCTTTGGAGGTAATAGATATTATTACAAAGACATCTACACACTCAATATCTTAGAAAAGCCTATAAAGGCAGGCATAAGCAAATTTCAGCTACCTTCAGAATTGAGAAGATGCATAATAGTTCTACCTTGTATATCAGGACTGTTTCCTCTTGTGACTTGCCTGTCTTATTCTGATTCATGCATCCATGAGCACTCCAGAAGCAGAAGTTGTTTATTTGAACTTGCCTAGGTGTATTAAATGTAAGCATCTAAATTTATTAATGAATAATAAGGTAATGAATTAAACTTTGGGTAATAAAATCATCACTTTTCCTGTCATGGTGCTGAATCCAGATTTAGGAATAAGGCTGAAAAGTTAATGGCTATTTGTAAATGAAACTTGAGAGCCACTTTAAAGCGGAAAAAGAACATAAAAATATACTACAATAAACTGAAAGAAAGTATGGCCATCGGAGCTTAGCAATCTCTGAACAGTTAAAATACTGTAAGAATCAAAAGGAAGGTCTGATTCAGGTATACAGCCTATAGGGACTCTAGAGTTAAAACAAACTATTTTATCTTGCTTATGGACACTGTCTAGGATATAGAGAAATGACTCTTGGAGTCCTTATAAAGTGCTTGTTTAACTGAGTGTTAATATATATTTGAGTACATTTTCAATTATGAGAAATATAATTACAAATATAGTATAAAAGACAGTCAATGATATATTTCATTAATAAGCTTAATCCTTTTGAAAGGCAAGAAGGTTTCACTGTAGCCTATATGCCTTTCAAGGCACCAAGAACTGGACACTTAAAATATTGCTGTGTCTTAATAATATATTAAAAATTACCCTTCTGGTTCAAAGTCATGTTATGTATATATGTAGCAGTCTTGAAACTATCAGTAAAAGACAACTTTTAATATGAGAAATTATGTTCAAATAGCATATTCTTCCCATCACACAAACTTTCTGGAAATTTTTCCTAAGTAGACAAAAGTTATTTCTGAAGTCTTTGTCAATGAATTAGTGCTACTTGTATGTTTAATGTATTCTATATATTCTACAAATTGGAAGAATGTATTTCTTATCCATGAAGATAATGATAAAATTGCTCTAATGATAGGAATTATTATGACAGTATAGAGATTTGAACACAACTAGAATGAATATACGAATATCAAAACAACTTTCTATATCTGGGCCATTAGTAGTGTAACATGAATAAAATTGAATTTTCATGCACACAATTTACACATCATATTGTGCAATATATTTAATAAAGCAAATTAAATTTATTTGGAAGTAATTATTTTATGGCCTGAGAAATATAAGAAAGAGAGCAGGCAAAATGATAATGTTAATCCCATGCCAGAAACATGTTTTATCAGGTTTCCTTTTAGCTCTTAAACAAGATGTAGTAAAAACAACAACATTCTGTCAGACTATATGTTCATTTCTTGCTTCCTGGATTAAATATGCTTATGCTATGCCACATTTTTATAGCTTTCAATTCCTGTACTTTAAACCTATTAAACAATGTCAAGTTGAATTTTCTTCAAAAACTGCTGCAGGTTAAGAAAAAAAATAGGACAGTAGAATATTTGAGCGCTAACATTTATGTCAGCTAATTAATATGGATCAGTTGTGGTTTGCAAAGATTTTAAAGTGCATGCATATTTGAGACAAATATAGATGAAGGATCTGATTTAGTTCCTTCTCAGATTGATAGAAAGCTCTTACTGATTTCAATACAAGTATGATCTACCAGTTTTGTATGCCTGACAGATAAAAGCTGCTTTTGTGCTCTTGCATAATATTAGTTTTTCCAAATTGAGTACAGCCAAAAATACAGATGTACCACATAAGAAATAAATCATAGCTGCAACATTGTATTTTTTGTTCTTTATTCTTTTTACTTGATAATGGAATGTGATTTTGAAAAAACTAAAACTGGGAAAAACATTAAAGTTCTTCACGTAAAAAAATCTGTCTAATTAACCTGCTAAGAAATTAGCCTATTTCAAAAACTGGCACCCTCTTATCTTGGGATGCAATGGCATTTTTTGTTTCAGAATATTAATATTCCATTATTTAGTCTCCAAAAAGTCCTTGTTAACACAAGACATTTTGTTGTTTGAACATACTTCTACAACAAAAATGTACTTCTGCTCAATAATGTTTGAGCAAAAGATTCATGGTGCCTATGTTTGACCCTAAGGCTGCTAGATTTCTTGGCAATTTCTTCTTTATAGAATCACAGAAGAAATCAGATAGAAAGGAAATCATTTAGTCCAATCTCCTGCTGAAAGTCAGGATCAGAAAAAGCAAACTAGAGCTTCAATTTGGACTTGGATGTCTCCAAGAACGGAACCTTTCTATTTGAGAAGTATGCGTCAAAAGAACAAACATATCTTAATTGGGCTTTTCCTTGAAAGGCACTTTTAACTTTTTTTTTTTCTTGTAATCAAACCTTACGTAGAGGTAAAACAAATTACATTATGCTTAGTATTAAGACTTGTTTTCTATCCAAAGTCTTACCTGATTGTAACATTCCCATATCAAAGACATCCTTCTTGAAGAAAGCTCTAAACGACAAAGGACTTGTACTGCAATCTTCTGAAAGTTTCTCAACAGCTTGTCCAAACATAGAAACTAAGTCATGAAGAGGTCCATCTAAATCAAGCTGAGAAGTAGGAGGTAAAATCAAGCTCAGGCGTACAGAGACTGATGCACAAGATGCAGAACTGGACTTCACAGACTCACAATCAATTTGGAAGCCCTCTGATAACATCTTCTTTGCAAAATGTTTTCTGTGGAGTGGGTCATCAACTACTGCAGTAACATGCCATTCAATGGCAGCATCTCTAGGTAAGTTAGTTACAACAACCACAGCAAGCATCCCACACTCTGCAGCTACTTCACCATATGCTTCTGGATCATCAACCTAAAAGATAAACAAAATATTTTGCATATTACATAACTGCTAGAAATTAATGTTGCTCCTATTCAGATGATATATTCCAAAAAAGGATCTACAGTACAGCTATTTCACAGTGGTTGGTTTTTGTTTTTGTTTTTTTTCCCTGTAAAATTTCCTTCATATTTAAGTCATTGAGCAACGATGAATTTGTCTGGCAGTTAATATCTGCTCATTTTTTCCTATTTAGACTACCACTATGCCTTTATCATGTAAGGAAATTCTGTTCTTAACATATTTAACAATTAAAAAAATTTTTTTTTTTTTTTTGTATATGGCAATTTCTGTCAATTTCAATGAACAAAATTTCCTTTCTTTAAAGAATAGAAATAGTAGTAAGTAATGAAGCTACAGCAGTGGATTAATAAAATGTACGTATTTAGTTTAAAAGTTGGAATACTAAAGATACAGCTTAGATACAGCAAAGATTCCTTTCAGACAATTGCGAACAGCAGAATGGTCTAAGTATTGTGTCCAGTTTTGGAACCCCCAACACAAGAAGGACATGGAGTTGTTGGAGCAGGTCCAGAGGAAGGCTATGAAGATGATCAGAGGGCTGGAGCACCTATGATGTGATGACAGACAGAGAGCTGGGGCTGTTCAGCCTGGAGAAGAGAAGGCTCTGAGGAGACCTTATAGTGGCCTTCCAGCACCTGAAGGGGGCCTACAAGAAAGCTGGGGCAGGACTGTTTATAAGGGCAGGTAGCAACAGGACAAGGGGAAGTGATTTTAAACTGGAAGAGGGTAGATTTAGACTAGATATTGGGAAGAAATTCTTTACTGTGATGGTGGTGAAACACTAGAACAAGTTGTCTAGTGAGGTTGTGAATGCCCCCACCCATGGAAGCATTCAAGGCCAGGTTGAATGGGGCTTTGAGCAACCTGGTCGAGAGGGAGGTGTCCCTGCCTATAGCAGGGGGGTTGGAACTAGGTGATCTTAAAGGTCCCTTCCAACCCAAATCATTCTATGATTCTATGTTTCTAAATGAACCCTTTTAAAGACAAGAGCATCTTCTCAATAGTGGAATTATTTTGAAAGCTTACTCGGTAAGCTAACTTTGAGAAACTGACCTCCTTTTTCTCTAATGGTATTAATGAAGCGGGAGAGGTTTTCTTCTTACTTCCTTGTAAGAATCTTAGGATAAATCACATTGGAACATGTTGTTAAGGTATTGGAAGTGAATATAATGTTTCAAAACACTTAAGTGCTATGCCATGAGCCAGAGGAAGAAATTGTCAATTTGCAGTCATGTCAACACAAATCAACTGTACTTAAGTACACTATATAGCATTACCTGTAAAACCTAAAATGAGTTCATAAAAGTATCATCTTGTCCCCATATTCTTGCAAAGTATTCTATTATTTATTTTACAAGAATACACAGAGTAGAGGCCTCAGAACGCAGCTGAGGAATCACCTTGCAGTGGGCTGAAGCCCAGCTGGCAGTGAAGCTTCATAGCTACTTGCTTGCTCCTCCCACCCCAATGGCATAAATGAAGAAACTCAGGAACTGACATAAAAGCAGTTTGGTAAGTGACGTAAAGAGGAGGAAGAACGGAAAAAATACAAAACAGTTCATGCAAAGACAATCCCTTAACACCTGTCACAAGCAGACCTATGTCCATCCAGTCTCTGAGCAATGGGTACCTTTCCAAAACCCATCTCCTCATTGTTTGTATCACTGTATAAGGTGTCATATGGCATGGGATATCCCTTTGAACTCTTCAGGTCACCTATCTTGCCTGTGCCTTCCTCAGCTTCTTGTGCACCCCCACCCTATTTGCTGTGTGGGTAGTGTGGTGAGCAGAGAAGTCCTTGATGCAGCTCGGACACTGCTTAGATGTACCTAAAGCATGTCATGCACACTATTTTGTCCACTCATCCAATACACAGCACTGTAAGGGCTGCTATGAAGAAATTCAGCTCCATCCAGGCCAGACACACACTTAGGCGTTCTGTAACCTTGTAGTTAAATTCATATACTCATACACCTATTATACGACAATGTCTACTTATGGAAAACAACTCAATTTTATGATATATGCTCTCAAAAAGGATTAATGTACCTTATCTTTATCTGCTTTTTGAATAAATACATTCTAATTTGAAGAATTATAGGTATTTATAGGTATTTATTCTGTTCAGAAGATATTGTTTGTCTTATTTTTTCCTCCATTTTCAAGAGAGATAATATATATATTAAGTGCTTTTGAGATTAGGGATTTATATTATCTTTGTGTACACAGATAATAACTTTTTTATATACCAATTTGCTTACCCTGCAGTATATACTGTTTATACTGTCCATTGTCTGATCTCTAAAGGAAAAACAATAACAAGGCAAAGCTGTCATTTTACCTGAAGTTGATAAGGCCATATAACTCTCAGTACCTTCAATTCACAAGCTCAATTTTCATCTGCTTGCTCTCAACTTCAAGAGGAAGAAATAATGACATGTTACAGGCATTCACAAGGTTATTGACAAGCATTTTCCACAGAATGTCTTTGATGCTTGACCCTTGTGAGCTGTTTACATGAAAAATGCACTTACTTCTATATTAACGATAGTGGAGTCTAATTCTATACCAAACATCTAGCAATTGCTTTAGCATTTCTGTTTTTGATATGGGAACAAAAATAGGGATAATTTGTCTCAAATTGCAGTCACTTCAGTTATAAGAAAATCTCACTGAGTACTGTTTGCTTTCAGTACTTTCATTAGGCAAGCTGGGGCTGTTATTAAGGTACCAACACATAAATGTTATATTAGCACTTAACAGGAGGAGCACACAGTATTCTCCTCTAGGAGATGAATTCTAACCTTGTCAATATAATTCTGCTCTGAGTGCTGTAAAACAGTTTGAAAATACGAAACACTGGAGTTTTGCACTGAGGGAAAAAAAAAAAGAAAAAAAAGGTATGCTCATTCAGGCTTAAAGGCCACTTTGCTGGCCCAAGGTGCTGTGGCAGTTTAGAAAAAAAGTCTAGAGAAGCTCTCTCAGGTCACATCAAGCACTAAGACAAACTTTTCTACTTCCCTGTACTTGTCTTAGGTTGTTAAATCAATTACTCACTATTTCTGCTTGCCTTCAGCTGCCATTTAGAATATGAAGAAATACATGAAAATTAAGGCCAGGAGAAAGCACATTTCCAAATTTAACAAACGAGAATCATTCTGAGTGAAAGACTGTTCATGGTGAACCTGTGCAGTACCATAGCACTCATAACCTTTAGCTTTAGAATTTGCACAAAGCACAAATGATAGAGCTACTGGGGACTAACAATCTTTCATCAGCTGCTAAAAATCATACATAAATACTACTAACAGTGACTTCTCCTGACTTATTTTCAAGAAATCACTGACATTTGTGTTGTACATGGATGCTGCATTTGAGTTACCTGTCAGAAATTTACAATTGTCTTAAACAGCTGAATATAGTTATGATAGCTTCCCTTGTACATGGGGATGAATATTTATGGGTCTGATAAGAAATTCTAATCATATAATGCTGGAACAATATAAGTTTGTATTAAGAGTGAAAATAAGTTACTCTGTACAATTGATTCTACATTGTCATCAGTGAGACAACACTTTTTGGCAGATACCTACGGTAATAGGAAGAAAAACATGGATTTAAGGTTATTGCACAAGGATACTGCTGTAGAGCATTCTACAAACGAGCACGAGTTTCAGCCTAGTCCTTCTCCCACAGCTTCACAGTCTTGAAAAAGAGCAAGCACAAATTGAGGTAGAGGAAGCAGCTTGGCTTGGCCTATTATTCTTGAAAAAGAAGTGTCAAATAATTCTTGGAAACCTCTGTGAAAATCTTATTAATGAGGTGATAAAACAAGGCCAGACAAAGTTGAAAGTAGTGATTCCTTAAAGTATGTACAACCTGAACTTTACAAATCTCTACAAATTTCATTATGCTGTAAGCGTAGCTGCTATCTAAAGGCATTTGCTCTTAAATAACTATTTCCTGGCTAAGAATTAACAGTACTCAAGTGATTTTCAAATTCATGTAAGAGGGTATGCCTGTAAAAGATCCTCATGTCCTGCTATGAGCATTTCCACAGGCAATTTAAACATTTAAACCAAAAACCAACACTGCAAAGTAAATTTGCACTAGGAATAGTTTGTCCGTCAACAGGAAAAATAAACAGAGTTAAAGATTCAGTGGCAGACTGCTGAGGTACTATGGAGACGGATATTCTTCTATATCATATACATTTACATGCTCGCATTTAAAGAAGGTTCAAGCAGGAAGTCAGCATACTTCCTCTGTGAAGGAGATAGCCTCTGAAAATAAATTTATCTGCAACAATGCCCTCTTCCAGGGATAGATGCAAACTGGATTATCTCAGAGACCAGACTATGACAGGATTCTGATTCTGTGTGAAGTGGTAAATCCCAGGACTTTGAAAAAAGATGTGATATGACAGTGATTTAAAGTGTGCGATTGTCTTATTTACCTGCAATTTTATGATAACAAATTTGACTGATACAATACTAAAGTAAATACTGAAAAGGGTCCCATGCTACGTTAAGTAACACTGTGGAAAGTCTTCATGGACTGGTTAGTAGAGAATCACAGCAGATGACAGCAGTCAGAAAACCAAGTAAAACATGATGAATTGTTAACAAAAGAATAGAGATCACAGTGAGCTATGTTACGCCACTGTAGAAATTCACAGTTCATTCACATATAAAGATACACACCTCTTGATCTCTGATCAAGTTGAAAAAGGTCATACTAGATGCAAAATGTGTTCAGAGGAATAGAACAAGGATGATCAAAAAGCTCTGGAAAATTTGAATGGAAATGTTATCCAGCTTCCTTAAGGAGAATCTGACCAGGATTTACAAAGTCATGCATGACATAAAAAGAGTAGATCGAGATAAGAACTGATTGTGCATGCTCGTCTTTCTGTAAAAGAGCTATGGATCATCAAATGACATTAGCAA